GATTCGAGTCCTAGCAGACAAGTTCCAATCGTTGGAATCCATCCCGAGGTGTGGATACGTGTAGAGGGCGAGGTATTCTTCCTGCCTTTCGTGATCAGACGTGTTCTTCGATTGATACAGGCCCCGGATCGATTGAGGTAAGCGTTCTAACGTTTCTACGATTCAATAGCAACATGGTTCTAGGGTTCTATAAATTTTTGTTTTACTTCCGCTGCGCAAACCCTAGAATCGATCTCTTAGGAATTAGATTCGCTCACGAGATCCCAGGAAACCCAATAAAGGGAACATCAACATCGACAATGTCTGAGAGAACGCCTAATTTGGAATGAAGAAAGAGAAAAAATTTATTTAATAATGGTGTACTTTATTTGTGTAATAATGTGTTAAAACACTTTTGTATAATAATGTCCAAAAATCTTTGTATAATAATGTTGTATTATGTTTGTACAATAATGTGTTAAAATTTTTGTATAATAATGTGTTAAAATAATTCTGAGTAAATTTAGCTATCCAATAATTTCTTTTGCTTTCGCATACATGTGACTCTTGTTACACACTAAATAAGTTGACTCATATGAGTCATCGTTGTGACTCATTGTGACCAGTTTGTGACCATGTGACCGAAGTGCAATTTTGCACTGTGTGACCATTGTGACCTACTGGGACCCGTGACCGAAATGTGTGTTGGTTGTGATGCTCTAGGATGATCCGTGATATGACATTTTGACTATGTATTGATTCATTGATTTATGAATGCATTACATTCCCGTTATATGATTGGCATGTTTGTTATATTACGGTATCCTTGAATCATTATAGAATGATTCTAAATCACCCTATTCAGTTATCATTGTGGGAACAATAATGAATTAAGACTAGTATGAGATGTGATCGATGCATTGGATGCATATCACAATCATGGGTACTCGTTGTAAACGAGTGACTGGTTGACCCGCATGAGATTGTCACATGGACAGAGTCATGACTTGAATCTCATACAGCGGTTCGTTCTTGGATCCTCAGACCTGAGATGTCTAGAGTATCTGATGTGAGGAGTGGCGTGTCTTGACTGCGTCAAACGTCGTCTTTAATTGGATGATTATAATGGCGTTGATCAGATACGTTCACGAATCATATGGAGATAATAGACATGCAATATGGGATTTGTCACCTCCTCAATAGGAGAGATATCGCTGGGCCCTCTCGTGGAAGTCGGACTATGAAAATGTGTGGCCACGCTATAGATGAAGTTGCATCTATTTTATTAGTTGATTTGCCAAGACGAGAAAGCGGTTGAACTTGAAGGGTGGCTCAAACCATGCCCTTGTTTAACATATGATATCGTGAGATAAAGGATCAGAACTCGAGCTGTTATTGCCTTGGTTAGATCACCTCTAACTTAATTCAACGTGGGTGGTCATGGCGTCTTGTTCGAGGCTAACCATGACTTGTAGATCGGGAATGGTTCTCGAGGCTGCTGCCACTGCGAATGGGCCTACAGGGTCACACACCATTAGGGATGGACTTACATGTGAAGTATCGGAAAGGGACACTTGGATTTGGTCGAACAAACGGTTTTCGGATCAAATCAGAGTGTCGGGACGGTTTCAGCCTTTTGACTCGGACCGAATCAGTATTTGACTCGGACCGAGTCAGTTCCATGCGAGTCGAAGCCCAGAAAGTGTTTTGGGCTTGGCTGATGTTTTGACTCGGTCGAGTCAAAGTTTTGACTCGGACCGAGTCAATACTAAATGGGCCGGGTCAAGAGTTGACAATGGGCTTGGGCTGATTCGTTCTGACTCGACCGAGTCAGAGTTCTGACTCGGACCGAGTCAATACTCGGAAAAAGTCACTTTCCAAAAGGGATTAGGGTTCCTATCTTATAAGAAGGGTATTGGACGCCGTCCTCAACCTAAGATAGACGAAAAGAACCCTAAAAACAGAGCAAAAACTCAGAAGAAATCGTTTCTTTCATAGTTCTAGCTCCCGGGATTAGATCCCACTTCAAATACTTCATAGATCCTAGCAGATCGATTCCAAAAGCGTTTGGAATCCTTCCCGTCGGTGTGGATACGTGTAGAGGGACTGTAACTTTAGTCCTAGGTGATTAAATAGGCCCCGGATCGACTCCTACTTCCGTTTCTTCAGGAAAGAGGTAAGTATTCGATTCCCACGGTCATATACACGATTATACGGGGTTTTACGGATGAGTTTGGTTGCGTGTGACGTTTGACTAGGTTTAGATTTTCCTTCCGCTGCATGAAACCTAGTAACCAAACCCTAGAACGATGAGATCGCATGCTATGAACCCGTAGCGAAACCCAACAAATATATAAATACAGACCAAAATTTAATTTTTAAACTTTGGGGTGGTTTATCAGAGTCTATATATCAAATATATAGTGTGTGTGAAAAATTTTAAAAATATTTTAAAGGATTTATAGATGAAATATACCAAATTTATCAAAAGTACTCATAAAACATTATGAAACATATAGGAACACATTTGGAATAACAACTTTGAAACATAAAAATCGTAAAACCATATTTTAATGTTCGAAACAATATAAAAATAGGTTTTATGAGAGATGTGTAACGTTGTAAAATGATTAAATTAACAAAAATCGCATGGCTCGAAGGTTGTGATCGGTTGTGACCGACTGTGATCCATTGTGACCGAAATGTACCGTGGGGTCTACACTCAGACAGAGTCAGAGTTTTGACT